TTTGGGTGAAAATCCGTCGTTTTGAGGCCGTTTCGGGCCGAGGGAGGAGGAGCCGGATGCTGGGGGGGAGGCGGTGTTTTCCAAAGCGGCGTTTCCCGGGAAATTGGAAATGGGGGTTTGTTTTGGGGGAAAAAATGGTGATTTTGCAAATGGCTCTTTCCGAGCCCGTGTTTGTGAGAAAAACGGGATTTCTGAGGAAAATGTGATTTGTGAGGAAAACGCCATTTCAGAAACTGCTGTTTTTGGAAGCCGCTGTTTCAGAAACCGCTATTTCCGAGGCCAATTATTTGGGAGGAAACCCGCGATTTCAGAAACTGGTATTTTTTGGAAACCCGCTATTTCCAAGATTTTGGTATTTTTGAGGCCAATATTTTGGAGGAAACCTGGGATTTTGGAAACTAATATTCTGGAAATCGATATTTCTGAGGAAGCCGAGATTTTTGGGAATTGCTCTTTTCGGAAGCCCCTCTCTCTTTGGGAGGATTTCTCCCATATTTGGGAGCCGAGGTCTCAAAATGGCTCTTTCTGACCCCGGGGTTTCGGAAGCTGAAATTTGGGGTAAAATCAGGTATTTTGGAGGCCAGAATTTTCTCCGTCCGGGCAGTTTCCGATTCCCGAACCCAACCCCCCCACACCCCTCGTTTCTCCCCTGAAAAACCCCGATTTTAGTCAAAATGCATCAAAAAGAACCACTTTGACGGCGTCATTTTGGTGCCAAACCCCAGCATTTTGGGGTTCTTCTTTATTTTATTCTTAAATTTCCATCCACAGAGAAAAAAAACCACCTCATTAAGGCACAAGAAAATAGAGAATTTCTCCATAATCGCAACAAGTTTCTTCAGGCCCAGAAATAAAGGGGTTAAACGACCCTTTTTAAGGGCTGGACGGAAAAAAAGCGCCCCATTTTTCTGTCTTTTCTGAAATAACCCAACTTTCAGACACTTCAAACCACAAACAGAAAACGCAGCTCTTTTTGAGGCAAATTCCCCCCATTTGGGGCCTCGTTGACGAGATCCAGAAGGGCCAGAAATCAATACTTAAGATTAATTTCTCATTATTTTAAAAATAAATGTTAAATTTTCAAGTTTTTTCTAACTTTTTAAGTTTCTAAACCCCAGTTTTTAGGGGATTTGGGGGATTTCTTGGAGTTTCCCCCCCGAGGCCACACAATTTAATTCCTTCCCTTGAAATTTCCCTGAGACTCAGAAATTGGCATTTTTTTCACCCAAATTCCGGAGCTAAAACCCAAAGGGAATCATAAAATCTGCTACAAACCACCCGGAAACCCCCCGGCTCCTGCTCCTTCACGCGGCAAAATCACAATAAATTAAAGAAAAGGGAATTTTGTGCGGTTTTTTAGACGGTGTGAGTTTTACGGGGAAGGGGTTTTTTGCCTCTTTCCCCCCAAAAAGGCCAAGTTTTGGGGAAAAACAGGGGTTTCTTCAGGATTTGTACTTGGCGAGGTGCTCGCGGGCGATGATCAGGCGCTGGATCTGGGCCGTCCCCTCGTAAATCTGGGAAACACCAGGAAAAAGAGTTAAAAACTCACAAAAAAGGAATTTCACGGATCTGGGGAATCCAGGGATCTGAAAAACTGGGGAGAAAACGGGGAAAAATCCACTGCTTTTAAAAACTACCAAGAAAAGTGGAAAAAAATTCCCTTTGTTGGAATAAATGCGGAGAAAAATGAAAAAAAAAATCATTTATTTGAAAAAAAACTACAGAAAAAAATGGAAAAAATGAAAAAAAAATCCATTTATTTGAAAAAAACTACAGAAAAAACTGAAAAAAATCCATCTGAGAAAATTGAAAAAAAATGATTTTTGAATAGCTACAGAGAAAACTGAAAAAAAAAATCATTTAAAAAATTACCAAGAGTTGGGAAAGAAAATCCTTTGATTTGAGTAATTGGGGAGAAAACTGGAAAAAATCTGAGTTGTTGTTATTGATGGGGTTATAATTACTATTACGTGTTAGGAATATTATTTATGGCATTAATTATTCTGTATTAGATGTTTGGTGATATTATTTAAAATTGGGGTTGTTATTTATGGCATTATCATTACTATTGATAGTAGTTATTATCAATAACGTCACCATTTCTGGCGTTACCATCACTATTTAGTATTAGAATTATTATTATTTGGGGTATTACATGTCAGAAATGTTATTTTTTACAGCATCGCTATTATGGTTAGAATTATTGATGGCATCATTATGATCAGAATTATTATTTATGGCATTATTATTGATGGTAGTTATTAATAGTGAAATATTATTGATGGCATTATTGTTAATCAGAATTATGTATAGCATTATTATTAATATTGACAGTAGTTATTAATAATTATTATTGATGGCATTATCAGAATTATTGTTTATACCATTATTATTCATACTGATAGTAGCTATTAATAATTAATCATTATTGATGGCATTATTATTATCAGAATTATTGTTTATAGCACTATTATTGACAGTAGTTATTAATAATTGATCATTATTTATGGCATTATTATTATTAGAGTCATTCTTTACAGCATTATTGTTAATACTGACAGTAGTTATTAATAATTAATTATTATTGATGGCATTATTATTATCAGAATTATTATTTGTAGCACTATTATTGATAGTTATTAATAGTTGATCATTATTGGTGGCATCATTATGATCAGAATTATTATTTATAGCATTATTGACAGTAGTTATTAATAATTGATCATTATTTTTGGCATTATTATGATCAGAATCATTATTTATAGCATTACTATTGCCATTAGTTATTAACAATTGATCATTATTGATGGCATTACTGTGATCAGAACCGTTATTGATGACCTTACACTAATTACTCCGTGTTGGGATCGTTATTAACCCATCCCATGCTGGAGCCCTGGTGTGACCCTCTGTCAGGGTCAGGACCCGCTCTCCCCTCGTTACCGCTAATTACACCGTTAACGGGGTTAATTAATTCCGCCGTGGGGCTCAGCCCTGTCCCCGTGTCCCCCCCGAGGCCCCACCTGGTAGATCTTGGCGTCCCTCATCAGCTTCTCCACCGGGTACTGGCTGTTGAAGCCGTTGCCGCCGAAGACCTGGACGGCGTCGGAGGCCACCTGGTTGGCCACGTCCCCGGCGAAGGCCTTGGCCACCGAGGCGTAGAAGGTGTTCCTGCGCCCCGCGTCCACCTCCCAGGCCGCGCGCTGGTAGGCCAGGCGGGCCAGCTCCACCTTCAGAGCCATCTCCGCCAGCAGGAACGACACCGCCTGGTGCTGCGGGTGGGATGGATGGGATGGGGTGGGGTGGGGTGGATGGAGATGGGATGGGGTGGATGGACATTGATGGAGATGGGATGGGATGGATGGAGATGGATGGAGATGGGATGGGGTGGGGATGGATGGAGATGGATGGAGATGGGATGGG